TGTTTTTAAGAGATTTTTCTGGCCACTTTCCAGGAACCCCCAGATCCAGTCCTAACACAGGCCCAGTGAGTGTGTAGGAGCGCTTCTGGCTACCCTGCACTGGCGGTACCTGCCTATCCCAGCCCATTAGCAGCCTGAGTGAGACTCTCTTCCGCCCACTTGGGACTCCCCAAAACTCTGCAGCACCACACCCCACCACACCAGCCCAGTGAGAATTTCTGCCACATTCTGGGGACCCCCAGATACAGTCCTATCCCAGGCCTGGTGAGTGGGTGGGAGTGCTGCCCCTGCCTGCTACTCCACCTTGACCCCTCCAGACTCAGCTCAGGCCTGGCATACAGACCTGAGGTGAAATATTACAGCTGCAATCCTTGCAGAGAGAGTAGGGGACAGAACCATCCAGCTAGTCCAGGAGCAGAAAAGAAGAACTACAAAGAGAAAGGTATAATACAATCAAAAGGAAAGCAAGAACTCAAGGACTAATTAAGAGAGGGAAAGGAGAAGAGCTAGGAAGCATGACAGTGACAAGCCATACAATTATATGTAGAAAATGGGCAAGACAATGATGCTGAGAATCTCCAGAAGAGTTTTGAATCTAACAGTTAATTGGAAAGATTCTCACCCTGACTAACTACATATACAGACACCTGTAAACTAAGCAACTGCACTGAATTTGGCAATTTGTAATAGTAGGTTCATGCTTGGAGTGCCTGTCATTCTGTTCTTCTGAATACGGGATGCTTGTCTTGACATGCCAGTTGCTGCTATGATGCCTCTCTGGTAGATGATTGCTCATCAACAAGGGGTGGCGAATGAAGGCAAGAGACAGAAAAAGAAATGCTGTGGGACTGTCCTGCTTCAAGGTTGTATATGGTTAGATTTTTGGACTTATGTGTAAATATAAGAAATATATAATTTTTATGCCGATTTTAAAAATATATTCTAATTTTTAAATGTTTTTTCATCATATTCTGTAAGAACTTAAAGTTCAACATATCAATACTTGCTGAAAAATACCTGTTCCTTGTTATGCCTGAGATGTTTGATATTCAGACAGATAGTGAGGTTAAGCTTAACAGCCTAGGTTGTATGGTAATAGCAAAAAGCTTGTCTTCTAGATAGTTAACAACCTAAGTTTGCAGACCAAAATTAGAAATAAAAAAGAAGGGCTTCAAGGAAAGCCAACATTTTGGCCCTAGCCTTCTAAGGTCAATTAAGACTCATGACATATGAGAACTTGTACTGTAACGTCATGTAACTCTGTAGTGTCCCAAATTTTCTGACCAAGGAGATTATGGGGCCAAAGAGGAAAGTGATCAATAATGTAGAGTGTGCCTAAGGAGAGTCACATGGAGAGAAAACATTCTCTCAAGCTTTCACAGACAGCACATTGGCCAGGCATTAGCCGTGACTCATCCACATAGCTGACACTGACAAAGGTTCTACAATCTGAGGTACAGGATCTCAGGATAACTCCTGAGCAGATTTCACTGACCTTATCAGACCCAAAAGCTACAACTCTTGTTGCATAGGTCTTGCTTTATCTTGGTCTTAGCCCTCCTGCAGAAAAGTATAAAAACGAAATATAAGAAGTGAAGTCATGCTGTTATGTTGAGCTGTAGGGGACTCCGGTCAACAATTTCTGACATTGCCAGTGAAGCGGAAGACCCAATACTATTGTGGACTACTGAACTCTTTGAGAATATTTTGCTGAGTTGACATCTATAATATTCAAAAAACAGAGTTAAACAAAAAAAGGGGATACAGATAAATGTCTGTTTTGTATCTGTGTATTCAAAATGGTTAGGATATGTAGTTACATTATCTTAATGGATAGAGTGATTTGTTCTTATAGTGTTTGTAAATAGGATAACATATCCGCATCTTGTACAGCAATTAGCCACTAGGAAGAATGTGTGCAATGTGTTAATTATTGAAACTGTCCTACCAATTTGGTTTGAAACTGTTTCAATGCCATTTGTTTCTGAATATTATTTTGGAAAAAAATTAAATAAAGTTGCCTTTAAAGCCTCAAAAAAAAGAGAGATTTTTTCCTTACCTTTTAACTAGCTGCAACAGTGTCTTCAAAGTGAAATTGCATCTTCACTTTCATTCAGATAGTTTTGCCAACTTTTAATTGAGTTTTTCATCTCTTGAATATCTCTTTGAGTGTGCTTCATGCAGTCTATTTCTTTTGTATTTTGCACATTCGAGGTTTCTATAATTTTTCTATTCTCCTGCATTTTTTTCTGTTTCTTTTTTAGAAACACTTAGTAATTCTTTCATTATATTCATCATTTATTTTTATTTTACTTCAGAAATTATTTCTGATCTCATTTCCTCTAAACTTTTCTATAGTTTTTTCTTTACTTCAGACTCTATTATTTCAGAGATACAGGTGTGTGACTTCCCATTTCCTCTCTGCTAGTGTCTCCTGCATTTGTTCTGGGTGGGTTCAGGGCCTGAAAATGTATTTTCCTCCTTCTTTTTGTCCTTTTATATTTCAGACAGAAGTCTTTATTTTGATTTCCATGATACATTTTTGTGAATGTATAATAGTACTTAGCTGTATCACTGTGATCAGAGCTACTCTGTATAGAGTCTGATCTTTAGGTATCTCTTCTGTGTCAAAGTTTTCAGGGTTTTTTTTCGGAAACAGGGATTGAACTCAGCCCCTTACACTTGTCAGGCAAGCTCTTTTTCTATTGAGCTGTCTCCCTGGCTCCAAGAGTTTTGCTTTCTGTGTATCCCAAAGTTTTGTCCTCTCTATGGATTGAGAGTGAGATATTGATTTCTGTTTGCCACTCTCCTCTCTTTTTCAGGGTATGGCTTTGGTGAGGTTATTACCCAGCACCTTACAATATTATTACCCAAGAGGAATCATGTGAATAAGATAGATATAGCTTTTCTTTTATTTTCAATAAAACAATTAACAACACTAATTATGGATAGTGAGATTTAGAAAATAATAAACTTTTGTAACTAATGAGTTTATATTTTAGACCATACGGGCAAGCATTATGACTATATAGCAAGGCAGATATTAAATTAGGAATTTGTATTTAAATTAGTTCCCTAAGTTCTGCCTGGTAACCTCCCTTTCTATATCTAGAGTCTTCCAGGCAGACTAGTTCATTCCAGTTACCTGTTTCCACCTTCATCTCAAGAATATTCTCTCATAGATCTGAGTTTAGGTCTGGATCTCACTGGGCCTAGCAGTATATCTCATCTGACCAAGTCAGGATCTACTGACCTTAAACTCAACTAGTTGGGCCTGGCTTGCATCTGGCTGTTGTACTGGTCTTCTTCCTGCTGTGTCCCATGGAAATGAATCCATTGTGCCTGCATGGCTAGATTACTGCTGCTGGTTTAGCTCACTGGGACTTTCCCCTAACCTCTGAAGGGAGTTTGTGTCAGTGTCCCAAACCAGGCATTTCTGCTGAAGGCTATTGCACCTGATACCAAATCAGGCTTCTCCTTTCCCAACAGGTTTTTTTTAATTATTTTTTTCAAAGACAATACAAAATCATCCTAAAACAGAAAAACTATAAGTGATACAGAATTTCTCTTAACAAAGTAGCATAGGCATCACAGTTTTTGGTCTAATGCATAGTGTGGGCTTCCAACTAGTATTCATATTACCAGATATATGCATGTAAAATTAGAAGAAGAGACAAAAAAATACAGGAATTTATGAAAAATTAAAAAGAAAAACGTGCAAAAAATGGGAAAAGGATATAAAACAAAGTAAGTATTATCTGGTCTTTTTCATAGACCAGGAGAAGTGCATAGTACAGTTATCCAAACAATCCTGCTTACATACATTAATATGTCTGTTTCTCCAGCTCCCTCTCCCATCCTTCTCCACAACTCAGTAACTATTTCCTTCTGAATAAGTATATTTTTCTTACCCTGAATCTATTATAACCTTCAAATTCCATTTTCTCTTTCAAGTTCTCAACTAAGGAGACAATATGATATTTGCACATACAGATTTGATTTATTTCACTATAGACTATGTTCTCTACTTGCATCCATGTACTGACAAAAATTAAAACGCATCCTGTTTTATAGATTAATAATATTCATTTTGTAAAAATATCACATCTTATTTATCCATTCTTCAGTGATGGACATCTAGGTTGTTTCCGGAATTTAGCTAGGACAAATCGACCTGCTATACCTACAGGTGCACATATATCACTGTGGTATGATGTTTTCAGTTCTTATAGAAAAATACCCAATAAGGAAATACCTGGCTTGAATGGAATCTCCAATCCTAGTTTTTTTTTTTGTTTTGTTTTGTTTTTGTTTGTTTGTTTGTTTGTTTTTAATGTGAAACAGAGGCTTTATTTTTGCTGTTCTGGGGATCAAATAAAGGGCTGTGGGTCAGTGCAGTATCAGAGCTGTACCTACAATCCGAGGCTCTATCTTTTAAAGCATAAGATCACTAACAAATAGGAGTATGGTTCAAGGTCTCTTGATCAGTATAATTAGGTTGAGAAAGGAATAAAACTTGTAAAACATTCTTCTTCACAGGACTGGTTTGCTTCAAAATCTTAATATGTTTAGTGGAGTGTTTTTATGATTTTTATGTTAATGGGAAAGGCAGAAGATACTTTAGGCCCTACCAGTTATTGCCTTCCCCGTTTCCAGTATGCAACTCCATTACTTGAGGGCAAGGGCTTTCTCACAATCATTACATGACCTATCATAATCCAAAACTTTCTGAGTTCTTATATTCACAGGATTTCAAATGTTAAATTTTAGCAAATATTCATCAAGGCTTTTCCATATTGCACATACAAAGGTTTTTTCCTACATGTTTGTAACATAAAACAAAACATAATTAACAATTGGAGGCACAATCACATTCACTACATTCATGAGGTTTCTCTCTAGTATAGATCCTGTTTTCTCCTGAGAGTGAACATCTCACCACTGGCTGTCCCACAGGGACCACATTTCTATTTGCTAGGAGCCCACTCATGTTTAACACATTAGGGATCACTGGAGGTATTTGCAGTTATAATAACAGGATTTCTCTCTTGCATGAATTTACTATTGTCCAAAAATGTGTCACTCACTGTAGAATCATTCACCTTCAGTATATCTGTGCATTTCTCCATTCTGTGCGTTCTCTTATGTTTAACAAGGCAAGACATATCAGAGTAGGCTTTCTTACACTCATCACATCCATAGGGTTTCTCTCCTGTATGAGTTCTATGATGGGTAATCAACTTTGCCTTTGTAATGAAGGCTTTCCCACAATCGCTGCATTTGTATGGCTTCTCACCAGTATGAATTCTTTGATATCTAATAAGCGCTGACTTCTTGGAATAGGTTTGCCCACACTCAGTACACACATAGGGTGTCCTTCCTGTGTGGTATCTCTGATGTGCTATGAGGCACACCTTCTGGCTAAAGGCCTTACCACACTCAGTACATCCATAGGGTTTCTCTCCTGTGTGAGTTCATTGATGTATCAAAAGATTGCCCTTCTGAATAAATCCTTTTTCACATTCACTACATAAATATGGTTTCTCTCCTGTATAAATTCGCATATGCACAATGAGTGGTGATTTCCTGGCAAAACTTTTCCCACATTCAGGGCAAATATGGGGTTTATTTCCTATATGTGTTTTCAAATGCTGAGTAAGCTGAGATTTCCTGAAGAAGGCTTTCCCACATTTACCACATTCATAGGGTATCTCTCTTTTGTGAACATTCAGATGTTTGGTGAGATTGAATTTCTTATAGGTTTTCCCACAGATACTACATTCATGAAGTTTCTTTCCTAAATGAATTTTCTTATGTTCAATGAGCTGAGACTTCTTGAGGAAGGCTTCCCCACATTTAGCACATTCATGGCCTTTCTCCATTTTGTGTATTTTCTGTTCTTTAAAGAATTGTGATTCAGGGCTGGTATGTTTTTTAACTTTAGTATGGGCTTTAACTGTGCTATAAGTTTGCTCATAAATATCATAAACAAAGGATCTCCTACCTACTTTTAACTCAGCAAGCTCTTTTATGAAACATTTGCTGTTCTGGTTAGATAAAGCTAAATAAGGTTTTGATGCTTTTCCATGTAAATCAAACATATGATTTGGACTTAAGGGAAGAAGACATTTGTGCCTCTGACTATTTCCAGGTGCATTTGGTTCATGACACTGTTCCATCCTGTTTGGCCTTTTTTGGTTTTGCAATTGCTGTTGCAGATGATCAGCTTTCTCAATTTCCAGAAGAATCTGACTGTGGATTTCATCTTCTAACATCCACAGTGGTTCTCCCTGTTCCAGTGTGGGGAGGACATCTGGCCTGCTGGCTTGAAACACAAAGTTTCCAGAAGCTGAGAAAGGAAAGGCCACCGATGGGGCACCCTCTGAGTGACACAGGGCAGCTGTCCTCACCCACTGACACCAGGCTTCGGTAGTTCTCCAGCATCACATCCCGGTACAGGTCCTTCTGAGCAGGGCCCAGGAGCTGCCATTCCTCCTGGGTGAACCTCACAGCCACATCCTCCAACGTCAGTGACTCCTGGGCCGTTGTCATCTTCTGCTTCAGAAACATCCTGTAACTGAAATGCTCTGTCTGCAGCGTCTTCTGGATTTGCCTCAATTTTTAATTTAGGACTCTGAGTCTTTGGTGAAAGGCATCCCGGGAAACGAGGCACCGCACATCCAGGAACCTCTTCTTGCCTTTCTTCACTCAAATGTTCTCGCTGTGAAACGAAGAGAAATTTCAGCTGAAGACACAGTTCCCACAGCCCAGGTGCTGCTGCTGTGGACCTTTTCAGGAAGCAAACTCCGGACTTTGGATTTTTCAGGTGCTTGTGTCGCTGGGTCACAATCCCAAGCCTTTGCTTTGCCTCTGAACTCACTAAGATCTCCAAGGGGATAAGAAGGTCCAATCCTAGTTTTTAAAGGAAACTCCGCACTGATTTTCATAGTGGTTGTACATGGCTGAACTCCCAAAAAAAGTGAAAAAGAGTTCTTTTTCCCACAGCAACTCCAGTATTTAATGTTGGCTGACTTCTTTATGTTAGCCATTCTTTTTGGGAAGAGATGGAATCTCAGAATTATTTTACTTGGCATTTCTTGAATGAACAATGATGTTGAATATTTTTTCATGTATTTATTTGTCATTTGTATTTTTTCATCCAAGTGTATATTCATCTCAGAAGCCCATTTTTGGATTGTTCTTTGAATTGGTGGGGCAGTTTATATAATTATTTACATGTTCTAGATAGAAGGCCTTTGACAGAGGGAGAATCAACTATTCATTTTTTTTCCCAGTTTGTGGTTTTTCTTTTTACTTTGTTGGAAATTTGTTTTAAAGTGCAGAAACTTTTCAAAAAGATAAAATTCCAATTGTTGATTTTTTTCAAGTATTTCCTGTGTGGTTTTGTTTTTCATCATGAACTCTTTTCCTACCCCATGTGTTTAAGATTTCTACCTACATTTTCCTCCAAAATTTTTACTGTTTCTGTTTTTAAATTTAAATTTTTTAGTCAATTTTGACTGTAGTTTTGTGCATGATGATAGGCATGGGTCTAGTTTTAGCCTTCAGCATATGAAGAGCCAGTTTTTCCAGCACCATTTATTAAAGAGGCTATCATTTTTACAGTCAGTATGTTTGGCCTCTTTATCAAAGGTAAGGTGGCTGAGTGTGTTTGTAGTTGTGTCTGCATGTTCTAACCTGTTGTATTAATCCTTAAGTCTATTCCAATATCATGCTGATTTTAGCACAATAGCTTTATAGTATAATTTCAGGTAAACATTTTGATGCCTTTTACTTTTTCCTTATTTCCCAGGATTGATTTTGATATTTGAGTCTCTTTTGGTTCCAAATGAATTTGAGGAAAGTTTTCTCTAGCTTTGTGATGTATTCTAATGGAACCTTAATTGCAATCTCATTAAATCTGTATTTTGAGAGTATGGTCATTTTCACAATTTGATTGTGAAAATTTCACAATTATAATTTTGTTCTTCCTATCAAGAATGGAATGTGTTTCCGTTTTACCAAATCCTCTTCAATCTGTTTTCTCAGATTAACATAATTTTCACAGTCCACATTTTTTACTTCCTTTATGAGTTTAATTCCTAAGTATTTCATTTGTTTTGGATGTTATAAATGCTGTGCTTTCCCTAATTCTCTCTCAGTTCATTTATTGTTTCTGTAAAAAGCTGCTACTAATTTTTGAGAGTTGACATGCACCCTTGTATGTTACTAAATTTGGTCCCTTTATCCACAAGACTCTTGGTAGAGAATTTGGGGTCCTCCATATAGAAAATCATGTTTTCTGCAAATCATGATAATTCCACTTTCCTGATCCTTATTCCTCTCCTCTCCCCCTCTCTGTCTCTCAGTCTTAGTCT